GTTGATTCCGTGGCTGCTTCGGGGACTGCTGGGCTGCCTGCCACTGCCACCGGAGGGTGGGGATGATCAGATGGGCCCCAAACAACAGGGTCCCACCCACCTGGCCACCCACCCGGGTGCTGCCTGAAAGGGAAGGGTTGGCTCTACAGAGATGGTGGGAGTGCTGGCCAGACTCTGGCCAGTGGGGCCCTAACATCTGTCCAGGCACTCACAGCTATCTGACGTCAGGACAGACAGCTGGCCCACGATGGGGAGCAAGGCAGGACCACCTGCCCGGCCCCCTTGTCTGGGTGGTCAGAGCCTCAATACCACCCGGCCAGGTGTCTGGCTGGTCTGATAAGACCCACTGCCCAGAGGGACTCCTTTACCCCGAGAGCTCAGTGTCCCTTCTCCGGATGCAGTCTGGGACCCCGGGACCAACTCCTTGGGCCCAGGAGGCCCCATGAGGGCCTGGATGTGGGGGGTGGGCAGTGGCTACCGCAGGGCGTTTGCCGAGGGGGCCTGAGCCAGCGAGAGCCAGTGCGCAGAGCAGACACTTTGCAGCCACCACATGGCTCCGTGGTGTGGGTGAGGGTATGCCTAACTGGACTTCTTTTTTTCTAGACTCAGCAAAGACTGGGGCCTGGCCAAGGGCCTGAGCAGTGCCAGGTGCCAGGTCTCAAGTAAGGCATCCTGTGCAGCACCCGTGAGGTGACAGGCCCTACAGCAGGGGCCACGAACTGGCCACAAGTGTGAAAGCAAATGGAAATAAGCCAGTGACGTTGTGCAGCACATCACCAGCCCCAGAAATCAAAGCCCAAGGAGCCACTGGGAGGATGAAGCTGCCCCTGCCCCACCCCGCCCCTGGCTCCGGTCTGGCCATGGCACAGACACCTACCGATCGCTAGCCGCTCCAGGCGCTTGCCATGCTCCGGCGGGATGGCGTACCTACGAGAGAAGGAGGCACGTCAGAGATGCGACTGTATGGCCACCACACACTGCAGGGGCCTGAGGATCGAGCCATGGCCTCAGGGCCACAGGAGCCTGTGCACAGTGCAGAACTGAACCACAGCTGTGGATGGCACGGCAAGGCAGCAGGAAGGCCCAGGACCAGGGAGGCGGTGGGTCGTGGTAGCCCAGGCAGGATGCCAGGAGCAGAGATGCTCCCAGTTAAGTGGCACTCAAGCTTGATGAGGCTTAAAAGCAAAATATAAAAGGCACCGGGTTGGAACTGCCGGGGTGGGGGTGCGCCCAGAGTTGAGGCCCAGAGGACCCGGCCTCCCTGCGGCTCTCGCCTGTTCTCCCAGCCCTAGGAGCCAACCGGGAAAGGAGCTTCAGGAATGAGAAAAACTCCATTTGTCACCCACTTCTTAAGTTTTATTTTTACACATTTTACATTTGAAAGATTACTGAAGCTCCATCATAAATAAAAAAGATGCAAGGTGGAAGTTTGCAAACAGATGATGCCGGGTGCTGGAGCTGGCATGCCCGGGTGCCTGGGACTCTTTCCCAGCAGGGGATGGTGCCAGCAGGGGCAGTCTGGCCAGGGGTGCTGAGAAGCCCCAATGCCAAGGACATGCCACCCCAGCCTGCCCCCAGGAACTTGGCCAGCTGAAAACCTGTTTCTGGGCAAAGGTGGACAGAACCGAGTGGGGGTCCCTCAGGCCACAAAGCGCTGCGCGGGAGCCATTGCCAGAAGCGGGGGTGGCAAAGGCCCATCTGCAGGGCTGGTCCAGCACACGTGAGCCTGGCTCTCAACCCAGGAGAAACTCTAGACAGTGATTCTCACCCAAGGTGAGCCTATCCCCGGAGACACCGGGCAATGTCTGGGGACATGTATAGCTGTCATGACTGGGGGTGTGCCTGGCATCAAGTGGGGGGTCAAGGTGCTGCTCAGCCCCCATAGTGCCCAGGATGGCCCCCCAAAGAATGACCCGGCCCCAGTGTTGGCAGTGGCCAGGGGCCAGACCCTGCTGCGGAATGACAATGGCTGACACTTAGCTCTACAAGAGTCAGACACGGGGGCGTCTCCCCCCTCGCAGTCAGGGACACAGGATGGGGCCAGTGCAAAACATCGTCCAGATGCCACCGCTGGTTAGTCTTTCCCATTGAGAGGTTTGTTACTACTTTTAAATAAAACAACAGTGGGCAGGGGGAACGCTGTGTCGTCTCCAAGCCAATGGGATGGAAATGACTGATGTCCGGGCCCACCGCAAGCAGGCCCCAGCGTGTGGCCTCAGCACCTCGGTGCTGCCGCTGTCAGAGAACTCCCCGCTGTCTGGACAAAGACAAGGTTACTATTTGTAAAGTGGCCTTTTATCACGTACATAAAGGTGATCAAAATTAATCCCAGTCCAAAGCACCTTTGTGGGATTATGTCCCCCAAACAGGAAACGAGACATTCCGTCCCTTCTGGAAGATGCCGAGGACTGGGAGGAACTCATCTAGAGCCCTAGGGCTGCGGTGATTAATGCAGTATCCCCGCTCTACAATGCTGCTTTCACTTAATTACCGCCTGTAATTGGGAGTTGTAAAGATAAGATTAATTGAATCTGGTGGATGTTAAAAGTTTAATACATTGGAACGTGGCTCCTCTGTTATCAGGAAGTACAGACTGCAGGACGCTAGGCTGAGCATCCGGAAGAGCAGTCCCCGGAGGGATTAGGGAGGATGCGTGGACCGCAAGCCGACAGCCATGGGGGCTCCTGGACGCTGACGGCCAAGAGACAGCGTCGCCTCCCAGCCCTCGGAACAACCCAGCGACGGCCCCGGGGATGCCAAGAAGCCCCAACGCCAGTGACGTGCCACCCCAGCCAGTGGGGCTGGTTGAGATGAAGGCCAGTGTCCCCGGGAAGGCATGCAGACCAGAAGTCCGTCTTCACCCACCTACACAGGGCCTAGTGTGGCCACAGAGCGTGGGCCTGCCGTGGCCAGGGGGAAGCTGGAGCCCTCCCCTGAGCTGCGGCCCTCTGGGCACCGCAGCGAGCCCAGAGAGACAGAGGCCCAGGAGAGCCGACCTCCCAACAGGGACTGACACTTGCCACCCAAGTCCCCCGGGCTCTGGGGACCTGCAGGGCAGAGCCTCGTGGGGGCCTCCACCCAGGGCCCCCGAGGAGCCGGCTCACGGTACCCTCATCACAGCCCAGGGCTGGCATCCCTGCCTCCCCGGCTTGGCTCTGGCTGGGGAAAAAAAGAAAAGAAGGAAAAGCTATTTGTGCTGAGCGTCTGTTCGCTACCCCTCAAGGCAGGAAAGCATCTGTGTGGCCATCAGTGCGCACGTTCTCGGGGCCGTAGAGCAGAGTGGGCTTTACTGCTCACCAACACGGAGGCAGTTTGTCTCGTTCTATCCCCATCACAAGGTCAGACCTTATGGCCAAAATCACCTGGCTTTGCCTGCCTATGACCCTGGGTGGCCTCTCTCTGGATAAAACAGCCCCAGTGCCCAGGAGGAAAGGGTCTCACCTCGCCCTCTAGCCTGGCCCATTACAGGTGCTCAGTCTCAAGCCTGGGTGAGGGTGGGGTCTCGGGCAGCAGGTGGCCCTGCCCTGCTGCTCTCCTTCAGCTTGGCCCGCACCCCCACCCCGGCTCCCCCAATGCTCTCTGCCAGCAAGAGTCATCTTCTCCAGCAAGGCTGGTTTACCTCGCATCCTGCTGAACAACAGCCCTTTTTCCTCCTCCAGGAAGGCCCCGTCCACTGTGACATGTATCAGTCAAGTGGCCCCCAGCCCATCGGACTGGGCTGCTTCTGGTGGCCCTCTGGGCAGTCAACTCTGCAGGCCGCAGTGGAGGCACAGAGGGTCTGCTGCCAGCACACGAGTGGAAGTGAGAGATTCTACAGCCGGGATAAAGCAGCTGGGCAGGAACTTCCAGAACCTGGGGAGCCGTGGGAGGGAGCACAGGTGTGGGCTTCAGAGGCAGAACCAGAAATGGGGGGCAGCAGAGAGTCCAGGGTGCCCGTAAGAGGGGCAGCCCTGCAAGGGCATGACTCAGGCTCCCCTAGGCTGTAGCCTGGCCTTGCCTGGGGGAGTTGGGCTCTGTATCAGCAGCCCAGGTCTGTCACAGCAAGTGCGTCTGAGGAGATGCATCGGACACATGGCGAGCCCTGGATCTGGGGTCAGCCAGGTGGGGGCCACCTCTGGCCTACCAGCTCCTTCCCCACGTTTGCCAGCCCTTTCTCCTCCCCACTGTCTCTGCTCTTGGACATTTCACACTAAGTACTACTGGACAACACCAAACCAGAAAGTCCTGAAAAGCTCGGTGCTGTCAGAACAGTATCCCTCCAACCCCTCCAGTGACCCTGCGGAGGCTGCAGCATGACATGACGGGCTCCATAACTTGGGTTTAATGTCGTGGAATTGCTGAGGAGGCCGAGACAGGCAAGTTCAGGCATCATTTGCCGGCCACCCTTTTTGGAAAGGCAGTTGTCTGCAAACATCAGGGGTGTTCTGAATAAAATAAGATACTTTTGGATTAGGTATAAGGCACACAGGCGGAAATGGGATGGGAGACAAGAGCCTGGAACTGGCCCCCCAGGTGGGCACGTGAAACATTAAAAGCCACATGATGGTTAAGAAACAATTACAGTCCAGCAGTTTCACAGTTCAAACAACTAACTAGAAGGAAACACGCTTTACACAGGACTGTGGTAGGCTGTCCAACCCGAGTCTGGGCACCACATTCCAGAAGGAAGCAGCACCCTGAGCGGAGAGGGCCAGGCTTGCCCATGGAGAGTGGGCGCCCCCAGGCCTCTCTGCCTCCAGGGCTCATCCTTCATGCTCTGAGCTGCTTGGAGTGAATGTCTCCACCTGCCCCATAGCCACCCTGATAAAGGCAAAGCTAAAACCCACGGACCTGCCCACAGGGCACAGTGGTAGCCTGGGCACCTCCCGCAGGGCCAGAGCCAGACCAGCAGCAACCACATCTAAGACCTCTGGCCTGATACTAGGCGAGAGCCTGACCTGTTTAGGGGGTCAGGGACCAACGGTCATGGGGGAGCAACACTTGGCCCAGTGTTCCTGTCTCATCACTGAGGCCAGAGGCCCTGCTGACCTTCTGAGGCCAAGCTGGAGTCCAGGCTGGTAGCTGAGCTGCCTCCGGGACACTGTGTGGGTGTCAGGAGACTTTCACCTGCACAGGTCACAACAGACACTCCACGGGGTGAATAAAGACACCCCAGGGCTATGACACCGGGGGGTTGTGGTGCTCAGGTGGGCAATGGCCTCAGCCTGGTGGCTAGGCAGCTCTTGGAGCCGGATGGAGCCGGGTAATTAAAGGAAAGGGCCCTCTGCAGGCAGGGTGGCTGGCTAGGCCAGGGACAGGCTGCCTCCACTTTACCAAGTCACCAACTCAGGAAAGTCTTCCTGTCCGCCATGGAGGATGCTATTAATAGTGTCATTTTCTTGGTGTTTTGTTTATTCCCCTGGAATGGCTTGATGGATGTGAATAATTATCAGACTATAAAAGCCAGCAAATGTGCTATTTTCTATCGCTCTAAATCATCAAACAAATAAAGTGTGAAACAGCATTTTTGAATATAATTTTCCCCTCTAATGGCTCAGAATTATTATCAAGAACAATGAAAATAAATAAGCAAATGCCTTGTGAGTTAAAAATTAAGTGAGTGTGTCAGGAAGAGAACGCAGACTGTCTTGGAGAGCTGGGACCTGCTCAGGAGCCGTTAGTCACAGTGATGATGAGCCACAGGGCTTGTGGCCAGCCGCACAGGCTCTGTCGGCCTGTCAGTGTGGACTCCCACCAACCCTGTCCCCTCCGGCCCTAGGAGCAGATGCCTGCGGTCACCTCCCCAGGTGGGTGACTCGCCCTGGGGCGGATGTGCACCACGGTATCCATGTGCCCTGCTGACCCCCATAGGAGCCTGGGCTCCTATGTGCCATTGTCCCGGGACAGCCATAAGTGCCTCAAAAGTGAGGCAGACAGAGGGATGGCCT